ATGCATATAATTGCATATTTGGAATAAAAATTATGCATATATATGCGCATATTTTGATTGAATTTAACTGCATATATTCCGCGCTTTATTAATCAGCATTGCCGAAAATCTTTCCAGAATCTTCTGGGTGTCCATAACAGGCTTGGTGCTGCACGGGCTGGGAATGGGGGCCCAACTGGTGGCCTCATTTAGTGATGCCTTGAAAACTGCCGTGTAAGTTCTCGCATCAACTCCTCCCAATCAATGCTCCATAAAACCCATTTCTAGCGTCTACGGGTTCCACAACGACCTGGAAACCTACGCCTTAGTATCCGGATTGTGGACCAGCACATTTGCACTTGGCGCTTTCATCGGACCTTCAATTGCTGGTATTCTTTACGACACTGTTGGCTTCCGGAACGCATCCATGTTCATTGTGGTGATTCATCTGCTGGTCGGAATAGGAACCGTGGTTTTTATCTTCATCTCCAGGCGTCCGCCCGTCTACGTGGAGATCAAGGACGAGAAACTTTCCAATGGACAATTGGAGGCTACGCAATCGCAGCAGACACAAGCGGATGACAGTGTTAGAAGGTGAGAACGCATGGTCTGAAGAAATAGTTGAAAACTCTAGAACGGTTTCAGCTTTAGATCGATTTCGATTAATGGAATATCGGTGGAAAAGTGCCGGCCGCCAGCCATGAACAGCCTGATAGCCTGCAACAGCTACAAGAGTCAAGCCTGGCCCGAAAGGGACTCTTTCAATCTGCTAATGGACAGACCGTACAGCCACAGCTACGGAGCGGTGAACAGCCGGAGCAGCGCGCCTTATCTGCAAGGAGTGGCCTAGCATTTAAGTTCAAGTATTTTTTGTTCAGTTTGTGTCTGTGTTTTATATTTTAGCAGTTTTTTTATACTTTGATGTGCTCATGGCAGATTTTCTGGTCTCAGTCGCGCGACTGGGGAATATTGTTTAACAATTCTGAGATTTGTTTAACAGCGACAGAGAAACCGATAAAATGCGGGCAATATTATAAGAAAAAAAAATAGTTGGCAACGTTGATACATTTTCGAGTCTAATTGATCATATTAACGGAAAACTTTTATTATTAGAAAAAAATTAGTTCCCGGCTTTCCTTTTATTGGCTTCTCATATTTAATGTTGTGCCAAATTTTCTATTTCAAAGCACATTTTAGCTTGTGTCGTTCCAGAAACTTACAATATATTTTATATTACTGAAATAATTTATTTACTCTTCCTCCCTAACTTATCGCAAAAAGTTTACCGAAAAGCGCAAAAATTGTAGATGTATTGGTGACGTAACGCAATGGTGAATGATACGTTTTCTCCATCGTTCGGGGTGATTTAAATTCTGGATGTAAATGACTCTAGCAAAAACTCAATTCTCCAAAAATCCTTCTAATTGTACATCGTTTTCATCTCACAGAAGCAAGAAATACAACGAGCTCATTGAAAACCTCGCTAAAAGCTGCAGATCCGAACAGATTGATATTATTGCATGTTTGAACGGTTTTTTGAGCGCTCAGAAAATTGTACCGACGATATTAACCATTTAATCTAAAACACTTTATATCTGCATATTGGGGAGTTTCCTACGTCGAAATCTATTGAGCGCAAAAAGCACGTATACGAAATTTTGATTTTTGACCGAAAATTTCAAAGGGGTGGGCGTCGATTTTTCGAAAAAATTTAAACTCTCTCAAAATGCTTCAAAATATACATCATTACTATCAGAAGAAAGCGAGGAATGCAACGCGTTTATTGAAAACCTTGTTAGAAGTTTCAGATTCGAATAAATCGTTATGTGACTTTTCCGACGACATTTTCTTATTATATGATATTATGCACTAAAACACTTGATATATGCACACTAGCAAGTTTCTTACGTCGAAAGCATTTGATTGAGCGCAAAAAACACGCATGTAAATTTGTGATTTCCTAAGGGTGGCGGTGGATTTTTGGACAAAATATTAATTCGCTTAAAATGCCTTCAATTTCCCTTCATTTCACATCACAGGAGTGATAAATGCAGAAAACTTATTGAAAAACTCACTAAAGGCTTCTTCTTCTTTGGGGAAGCCCTTAGGCTTGTTTTACCTATTCGCCTGTCCCTCCTGGGATGACGACAACCAGCTGTCCTTTCACCTTTTGGGAGGCCGTCCTGATGGTCTGCCGGATGCTGGTTTTCCATTTCTGGCGAATTTTGCCAGTCGCCAGTTTTTTTTTTCGTTTTTTTCTRGCGCGTGTCTATCTACCAACGTCCTCCTCTGTCTTGCATTCTTTYCTAATTTCGTCACTCCTACTTCAATCCCATAGTGTGATCCTTGTGATCATTCTTATGCCCGGTTGCACCGTTTGACTAAACAGTRATTAMAAATTTAATCGTCGTTTAGTTTGAAAAATGTGTTGTACCGTCGCTTAACCACTGTTTTGTGTATTCTAAACAACGATTATATTAACCGGCACTTCTTGGCTGATTAGCTCCCGATTAGGGACCGTTTAGTATATTTTCTTGATTTTTTTTATTACGGGTGACAGTGGCTATGATCTTAGATCCTATTTGTTAGCCCTTTTAGTTAATCCTGCAACAAGAGCCGAAAGGCTATACAATAAGTCCCATATCCGAACAGGAAACGTGATCGAAAGATGTTTTGGAGTTTGGAAAAGAAGGTTTCCCGTTTTGGCGTATGGCTTGAGAGTAAAACTGGAGACCGGAATGCACATTATTTCGGCAACTGAAGTTCTATATAATATGGCAAAAAATATGGGTGAAGAAGATCCTCTTTTGCTTGCAGATATTAATGAGGAGCTAAATTATTTAATTGCTGTTAGGGAAGTAGGCACTGTACCAGAACCACACAGCCAAGCTTTAGTTAACAACTTTAGAAGTCAACTTGTAAATTATTATTTTTCTAGGCTTTAAATTGCGAAGAAAATATACCTTTGGAAGTACAGTAAAGTCCGCTTATAATGAACCGGTTATAGTGACCTTTCGGTTAAAACGAAATTTTTTTCCTTTAATTGAAACGTCGTCCATAAAGACCGACGTATTTTTTTACTGGTTATAACGAACTTCCGGATATAACGATTACTTTTTAGGTTAGTTGCATATTCACTTTCCGTTTATAACGAACTTGCACGCTCAGCAATACCAATCGTGCGGAGTTGTTTATATTAGTGAGAGCGAGAGACAGCCAATGACTTGTTCTTTGCCGCGTTATGTATGTAAATCGTTTTAGAATGGAAAAACAAAAACGCAAAGCTTTTTCACTAAATGAAAAGTACGAGATTATTAACAAAATAAAAAGTGGAGTAAAACAGAGTGACATTTGTAAGGAATTAGCACTTAGAAAGTCTACTGTTGCAACAATATGGAAAAACAGAGAAAACATTTTATCAGCGTATGACAAAACAAATGTTAGATGTAGGAAGTTAAAATTATCTGCACATGAAAAGGTTGGCAAGGGACTTATTAAGTGGTTTACTCAAAAAAGACAAGAAAACGTTCCCATAAGTGGCAGTGTTTTGCCAGAAAATGCTAGTGAAATGGGGAGTAAAATCAAAAACAAAGAGTTTGTTCTAAAAGTTGGGAAGAGCGTTTCAAGAAGAGGCATTATATCAGTAGCGTAAAA